GTTCCCCTTCCTGTTAGTTAATGCCTATTATGCTCGAGAATCCTATAGTTTTGTTCCGCTTCCTGTTGGTTAATGCCTATTATGCTCGAGAATCCTATAGTTTTTTTTATTTGGGAATTGTTTATGGTTAATTGGTTTTCGGTTAATGTTGGATTTGTTTGAAGGAGGTGGTGGTGTTTGGAGGTGTTTGTGTGTGGGTGAGGTGGATTTGTTTGGAGGAGGTGATTGGGTATCCGTGTGGTTGTGGATATATTGGTGATGGTGGATGTTTTTGTGTGGGTGAGGTAGTAGTTGGTATTTTCTGTGTGGTTGTGGATGTGTTGGTGATGATAGATGTGTTTGGAGGTGATGATTGTGTGGTTGTGTTGTGTTGGTCAGTGTATTGGTGTGTGGAGTTGGTGTGTAGAGGTATTAGTGTTGTAGATGTGTTGTGTGTGTGAAGATGTTTGTAGTACTGTTGTGTGTGGAGGTGTTCGCAGCAATTATGTGTAGATTATGTTGTAATGTGATGTGGAGTGGCAGTGATAATGCTATTGTTGCGCATTTTTTTCCTCTCTGAACTGTGTTAAATATATTTTATGGGAAATGTTTATGTTGATTAGTTTTTTTTTCATGAAAGTATACACAATGGTTAAGACCAAAGAGGTCGGCTCATCTGCAATGTGGGATAAGGATATCAAAATGATTATTTGCGACCTATTCCTCAATAAGGTCGAGAAGGGAAATAGGCTGACAACCTACTTCAACAAGGAGGGATGACAAATTATCATAAAAATATTTAAGGAATGTACAAGTAGATAGTACGATAGGGTGCAGTTGAAAAAGAAGTGGGACCAGCTGGAAAATGATTGGAAAATCTTGAAGGATTGAAGCTAGGAACCAGGGGCTTGGATTGAGACCCAATAAGGTGAACAACTGATGCTTCATATGTGTGATGGGATGAGAGACTGATGATGAGTATTTTTGAAACATCCACTGCTTTTATTTATTGTTTAAATTTTTTTTTCAAGTCCGCCAACATGTTAATTAAATTTTTAGGTGGTGCTAGCTGCAAAAAAATTTAAATGTTGTGGCATCGATCCTAAGCGGGAAGAGAGGTTAGATCGTATGTTTGGTGGTGTCGTATCCACAAGAAACAATGCATATGCTCCTAGTGAGGTGGGGTTTAGTGGCACCCCTGCAAATTGGACAGTTAACAAAACAGGTGATTCTAACGAAGTCCTCAGTACGAACTGCAATGAGGTTGAATGCAATAGCCGATCAAAGTAGCTCAGGGTTGAGAGATAGAAAAAAGAGGGAGCTGCTTTCATTAAAAATCAGATATCACAATTTGTGGCTTCATGCACCAATGACTTTGGCCCACCATAAGCAACATCTGTCCAGCTGTTTATGCGAATTCTGGAGGGAACTCTGGAAATTTATGAGAACATGTTATATTAGTTCTCTATGAAGTTGTTTGAAGATTCGACTCGAAAAGAGTTTTTTATGATGATGGTCGTTGATCGTAATGTGAATTACTTAGGTTATTTTCATGAAAACAATGATGCTTGTGGGACACATTTTTGTCACTAGATTCTTGTGAGCAGATGGGCTGGAAGATTTCACCGCCGAGAGTGATCGGGCGTGGAGAGTATCTCTGGAGAGTGACTTATTTTGTGACATACGTCGTCTATATTTTAAAAATAATGTTATCAAATTATTTATTGTTATTTTAATAGTCATTTTCTTAATTTTAACAGTCATGCTACTCACTGTTTAATGAAGAGTCTATATTTGTTTTGTAATATTTTGCACTGAATATTTGCTCTCAAGTATGGAATGTACTGGTATGAATAGTTCTGTTATAAACAAAATTACTATACAGAGATAGAATTGTTATTTTTTTAGAAACAGCTGCAACACAATTGTTTTCAAACTGAAAAAACAAAAAGACAACCAGCTTATCTACAGAAGCTTCTGCGTAGCAGCTTTCTGTTGCAGTTGCTACGCAACAGCTTATTATTATGTTGCAGTTGCCTCAAATAGTCCCTAAAAAAGTGAAGCTTGAATCAACAACGATATCCATTTATTTCTATTTGAAGTTAACATTCTAATTCTAGATATATTTATGCTATTTTAGCTTTTGTGGTGTGGTGATGTGTTGGTTTAGTGAAATTAAAGTTTATTTTTCTTTAGTAAATGTTAAACTCAAAATAATATATTTTATATATTTAGCTTTTCTCATAAATTTAATATCAAAGATAACTCTATTCATGGAAAATATTGCAATTAAAAATTATTATATGTGAACCATTAAATGCAAGATATTAAAATTTTAGTTAATTCTAATTTATTTTATGGTTGGTTGAGCTTATGAAATTAGTGTAATGAAGATTATAAGAGTAACATATACATGAACTTAAATTTAATTTAAATGTGGAATTATCTTAATTTTTTTTTATGAAATTCTTAAATACAAACTCTTTACATTAATTCAATGTTCATAAATTTATTCAATACAATGTTAAAGTATCATTCAATAACGTAAAAAATAGTTTATTGTTATTATATTATTTTTAACGTCAAGTGTGCTTATGAGTTAACGATGATTTAATTATATCATTTATTGTTGAAAATCATGTAAATAAAAAATAAACTCTCATTTAAAAAAGTTTTGAATGCATCAATTATAATTAAAAAGCATATTTTTTATAAATGAGAATAATGTTAATAAATTAATTGCTATATTCAAATTAAGTCGAGTATTAATTTAATTGATAAAAATATAATTTAATTACTAATTAAGTGGATTAAAGATATGCCAAGATAATTAAAGAATTCCATCAATTATATTTTTCATGAATCTTATATATGAATTTTGTAGTTTATAGTTTAATTAGTATCAGAGTAAGTAAAAGTTATTAAAAACATCAAGCTCATTTTATGAAGATCGAGGCTTCTAAGTGAATCTAAAGTGGATATTTACTTTTCTAAATTACAATGTTTTTTTTTTTTTTTTAATTTCTGAATTTATTTTTTATTCCAAATATTTTCATGTATATTCTGTGCTCATTTATTTTATGTTGTAAATGATTGTTTATTTTATTAAGAATGAAACATGCCTACCAACATTATTATTTGATGAATTACACAATAGTTATCAGCATTATCAATATTTGACGAATTACACAATAGCTAATGCTGACATTGATAATGCTAACATTGATATTGCCAGGCATTATCAAAATTTGACGAATTATCAATATTTGACGAATTACACAATAGTTACCAATATTGACTAATTATCAATATTATTTGACGAATTACACAATATCCTTTCATAACGTATTATATAGAAATGTTTGTATGTGTATGATGATAAATGTAGTTCATCCCTTTATGGTAATGGCTAGAGATGTCCATGTATCAATGCGCGTAAATGTTATAATGCTACTTTAGATAATAGTTGAATCATGACTATGCTCCGTTCTGCCTATGGGGTTGTATCAAGTAGGGGTGAGTTGGTGTTTCTTAACCTTAGGCAATAGTAGCTTTATTCTACAGTGATGAGTATGCATTGACTAAGGGTGTGTTTGGTTATGTTTAGATGGTGCTCTTGAGATGGTTGTATGATGAAAGAAAAATACGAGTATATCAAGTTATTAACGTAAATGAAAAGATAAATAACATTATTACCCCATTATACCTTATTGACATTTATAGGTTTAATACAAGATACGATTCATCATTTAGTTTAAATTACTGACTAGCATACATGTTGCTCCTATTTCTTGAGTATTGTGATTTGGAAATGTAATTATTTTAATGGATTTATATTAAAAGCTCATTATGTTGTTATTTAATAATTCGGATATAAAAATGAGTGAAAGAAGAGAAAATGTTTACTGTAGACTTGACAACACTAGAGCAAGATATATATGTTATTTTACATTTTTACCATTGGTTATAATTTTAGAATTTTGTGGCTCTTGTGATTTAGAAATGTAATTATTTTAACGGATTTATTTTAAAAGCTCATTTTGTTGTTATTTAATAATTTGGATATAAAAATGAGTGAAAGAAGTGGAAATGTTTGTTGTAGACTAGACAACACTAGAGCAAGATATATATGTTATTTTACATTTTTACCATTGGTTATAATTTTAGAATTTTGTGGCTCTTTCATTATTATTGAATTTAGTGATGATAATTAAATTTATGTTTAACGTCTGATGGTATGTTACCATCTTAAATTTAGAGATTGTAATTAAATTTATATTCAGGTATGACCATCCGTTCTTGTCTTCTGTTTTATTTGTGTCACACGATTTCAAAGGGTGATGATAAAGATGTAGAACTCTGGCTTTTAGATGATATTTATGATGGATGATCTAATAGCAAGACTTCTGATTTTTACACTTTTGCGATGCATGATCAAAGCATTACATGTTTTTGATAATATGTTAATTGGCTTGGGAAATTTGGGTTTTTCTAAATTGAAAAAGCCAAAATAAGGCGAGAGGAACGACATTTTACATAGGAAGATGGATGACATTTGACCGTTCCTGAATTTGGTTGGGGGCTTGCTAAAGCAACAATTCGTTGTTGATGCAACTGTTAGACATAGGAATAGAATGACGTGAACAATTTTTTTCTTTGCAGGTTTTCAAATCATAAACCTTCATTTTAGAGATCAAGGCAATGCCTCTTGACTGAGTGGTTGGTTTCAAAAAGTTCCTAGAGTTTTAGAGTGAAGTTCTGAATTAAAAAAATGACATAAAAGACTACAAATAAAGAATAGACTAACTTTTGTCAAACTAATGTCTAATCTAATTTGATACTGGTTAGACAATGATGGTGATGCGCTGCTGATGATGAATAACTCCATAGGCTCCAATTAGGCTGTCACATATCAAGTGGTGAAACTCTTGATATTTAATGTAGTAGCAAATCACCACATTTATTTCACGTTCACTTGTCTTTTGTCTTTAATGTTCGTCTTTTTACTGACTCTGTTGCAGGATCATAATAAAGATTTTATAGTTCAATTTCCAGACTTAAGTCCGATTCAGGAGGGTAGCCAGGTTTTACAAATTTCAAAAAGTAAGAATACCAGATTCTCCTTAAGGGAAACGAAATCTAATTCTCAAGAACCACATCTGTGGTATTCAACTAAAGAGGTGATTAAGGCATTGGAACTATTTATTGTTGCTGGGAGCAGCCTTGCAGAAAGTCTCACATACAGGTACAGCAGTTCCCTGAAGTATGCCCATATTTTTCCTATCATACTGTTAATGTCGATGTAACTAGTGATTAATTTATGGTTCCACTATTTTTACACACATGCGTGAAAAACATATAGACACGCCCAAAAAACATGCCTGCACATAGATGCACTTTCATGTAGAGTGGGACATTGGTTCTATTAGGGATAGCTTTCTCAATATTTTGTTTCTATGGCCACAATCATACCTCTAGTTGGCTATTGTTTTTATTCTTCTTTCAAAAATTTTGTGTTGAAATTCTGTTTTTTTACAATCAGATATGTTAAAATGTAATAGCTATGAGAAACTTATTGTTGAGAATTGGACCTTATTTAGGGTCCTATTGGTAAAAAGGAAATATTGAAGAAATCTATGGGTTTATTTGTAAAACATTGTAATACCCTTTTGAAGCCTTTGTTATGAATGTATAGAATATATTTTCAAGAGTTATTACTTTTTTTTGGTATCAAAGCTAAACCTAGCCATCTGTGAGGGTCGGGATCGTTGAATAGAGATCTGAAGCTCCCATTTGTCGGGGCATCACGACAAATCGAGACCAGTAACACAAAAGATTATGGCGTGTAGGATTGCAGTTTCCAGGACATGGAAGATCACGACGTACTGTGCAAGATCACGGCTTTTAGAGACTCGTAACGCGGAAGATTGTTTCATTCAGGATCACAACTTCCAAGGCCGCGGAAGATCATAGTGTGCAGGATCACTGCTCGATCCGACGAGTTTTGATCGGCATACAGAGACCGGGAGCTCACATTTTTCTTTTCATTATGCTTTGTCCTCGCAATGAAATTGTGTTTAGAGCTAATTGGGAAGGCAACGACAACTACAAGATTACAACATGAACTGAAGGATACATTCACAATTAGAGCTAATTGGGAAGGCAACGATGGGATTGCTGCGTAAAGATGCAAATGATCAAATTCATGTGTTTTGTGTGATCTAGCCTTGTGATTGAGGATGTTAGGAGACGGAGATAGTGTGAGAGATAAAAGATTGAAGCTTTTGGGGAATATAAATCCTGAAGTTCTGAATGTCTTGATCGGGCTCATACAAGGAGCTAGCATCTCGACTAGAGCCACCATCTCAGCACGTGCTCCGATGCAGGCAAAACTAGATCTCTCTCTTATGGATTTGAAGTTTGATGGTCTTGCCACGTATCTGATTTGTCCACGTCGGATCAAGACTGTTCTAATAGGGAAGAGACTAGAGGGATATCTGACGGGGGACAAGCCAAAAAGTAACAGTGTTGAGGAGATTAAATGGAGGATCACACACATCTTGTTTTACAACTGGCTACTCAACTTGATGGTTTTGTCGATTGCCTTATCCGTGTATGATATTCGAAATGCGAGGCAATATGGGCGAAGCGGAAAAAAAGCTATACTGGAGCTGGCAATCACATGAGGGTTTTCCAGATTCAGTGTGAGATAAAGGTGGTGGTTCAGAGTGATAAATCGATTCAGGAGTACCCATAGAGCTGGAGCAGGTGGGGGCAGATTATGATCACTTATCTTTGATGTCGATCTGTGGCAATCCAGAGTGCAAGAAACGGGAGATATTTACACATATGAGGACTATGCAGCTTCTAGCCCATCTAAACCCATCCTTTGATCAGAAGAGATGTGTCCTCCTAGCTTAGGCGACTATCCTTTCATTGGATAAGGCCATTGTTGTGATGATACAGGAGAATATTCGTATGAAGCTACGCTCGTAAGCCAAGTGGACTTCCAGTTATGCGATCAGATTTGACTGCCTTGAGCTCATATAAGATAGGTGTCCAAGGGGGACTCGCAAGTGCTAAAACTGTGGTGAAGTTGGGCATCTGAGCAAATACCTATCCTGGAGCACCTAAGGAGAGAGAGAGAGAGAGAGAGAGATGGACGTGGACATGGTGGAGGTTGTGATGGTCAAAAAGGTAGAAGAGGGGGCTACTGGCCAAATTTGATTGCAACAGAGGGGAGAGAGATATGTATGGTTTTTACCAATGAGAATCATGAGTGTCTAGATTTGTTGAAATGGAAGCAGAAATAAGCAGGAGATGGGGCTGAGGATTCTTCCATCGAGTAGTCATATAAGGGTAGCATTGTTATTTATTCTCATTGTGACTAAGGTACTTGTAATATACATGGTTTTGTCACTAATTCCACCACATGATCATCAGAAGGGATAGTAGATTCTGATACATCACAATATGTGATAGGTCCTGCTAGATAGTTTGTTTTGGTTTTTTTTGAACTCGGAGTCCTCGGTTTGTCTAATGATCTTATAATTCTCTTTCTAAATA